GGTCCTCCACGTCCGGCTGATATGTCTTCCTCCTCCCAGCCTGATAGGGGAAAGACTGCCCGGAGTGCGTCTCCGAAAAAGGGAGACTCTGAATCTCGAGATGCTTCCTCGAGGTTAAAACTTGCTCTTGTCCCTCAAGTCAAATCACTTTCAGGTTTGGTCATTTACATACTTCAACTTTTTGTCTTTATTGAAATTCCAATTTTTACAATTCTTCCTTCCTCGCAGCTATGGAGACAGAAGGCAGCGTCTTCCGATGCTTCAAGACCCGTTCGGGTTCGATCTTGCCAGATTTCAACAAATGGCGCCCTGCAATTCGTGAACGCTATTTGCTTCACGCTCACCACTCATCTCGGGTTAGTTCCGTTTTTTTTTTTCTTTTTTTTTTTGCATTGCCATTCTGCGAACTGACTCACCATCCCTGGTTCATGTATAATGCCAGGCTCAGAGCGAATTTAACGACATGATCGAACATTACGAAGGGTTGGTCATCGGACGGGAGAAGGAGATTGACATGTGGAAGAAGAAATTCTCAGCTCTTGAGGCTGACCTCAACTCTTCTGATGGCTCTAAGCACGATCTGGAGGATAAGGTCGATAGGTTGACGTCGGAGTTGGCGCAGGTAAAGGGGGAACTGCAAGACTACTATGACCGGAATTACAAACTCCAGGACGAACTGTCTGGTGTTCAGGGTAGACTTCACGAATCCGAATCAACCGCCGACACCCTGAATAACCAACTTATCGAGCTTGACGCGAAGTACAAGGCGCTAGCCAAGTTGCGTGATTCTGAGTTGGCAAGGTCGGCATCGAAGGCCAGAAAGGAGGTTAAGGGACGCGGGATGGAATTGATCCAAGGGGCCATTTGCTTCATGCAAACCGAGAAAGCTAGGTCGGACTTGGAGTCAGACATCAAGGAGCACGAAAGCAACTTGATTCTGCTGGACCAAATCCATGAAGCAGATTTCTCCGAGGAGCAAGAAAGGACCGAGCTGTCGACTAACCTTTCTGAAAAACGGAGTCGCTTAGCAGCTCTTCCCACTTCGGTCTTCAACCCGCTTGACTTCGAGGCATTCTTTACTGAATCACCTCTTATCAGTGAATCGGGTTTAAACTGGGTAGGTAACGCTTGGCTCCTGTGGCTTACCTTTTTCTTACCTTGTACCTTTGATTGACTGGAATTATTATTCCTAGGCTCAAGTGAGGCGGAGGACGTTGTCCCGCCCGTAGCTCCTATGGTATCGGAGGTCACTCCGGAGGTTGGTTGTACCGCGGAGGGTGGTCAAGGAGCTTCATCTGATCAAGCAGCTGCCAAGGACGCGAATGAAGCTTCGACTGTTGAGCCGGATTCCGAGGTGGCTGCTGCTCCGTAGTGGCTGTGTCCACTTTAAATTGGGGATTGTCCCTTTATTTTTAAGACTTGATTTATTTTGGCCTAAGGAGGCTTTATTGTTTCTTTTGAACAAGATATTTGCCTGAGGAGGCTTTTAAACCTTTCTAGGTTGTGGCCCAAGGGGGTTTGGTTAAAATTATATGCGGGTTTGCAAAGTCCGCTTTT